TATTTAATCATCTATACAAAGACATGGAAAAACATTTGAGAGGATGAGGAAGTCTAATGTCGAAGTTGCTGGAAGCAGTTGATGAAAAAGTGTACCAAAAACATCATTTTTCAATGTATTTTTTTTGCCGACTTCATTTATTTTCTAAAATTGATAGAATATGTAAATAACTTTGTTTGAATTGTGTAAATTTTGTTCTTTTTATGTGAAAATAACAAGAACAACATTTAGAGTGAAATAGATTCCAACATTATTACCTACATATATTGTGGTTAATGTTCATACATAAGTATATTTTTACGAACGTATCAAAATCAATACCTATTTATCTACCAATTTTTCCTACATATAAAAAAACTGTTACCCAGACATGTTTTATGGCATGTGTCACCAACATTTTATAGAGAACGGACACGTCGTCCACGTCATTGTCCACATCACAATCCATGTTAGCGGCCATGTCATTAGCCATGTCACACTACAAACAAAATGCCATTTAGTGGCATAATCTTTTAGTGACATATTTTCTTTGTGCCATTATATTGTACTTTTAATGTCACATCCTAAATGTCACTATAATAATTAATAGATTTAATGGCACATAACATTTTATGCCATTAAAAGTCATGTTTATTAATAACATAATAATTTCTAATAAAACTAAAATATTTTGATTTTATTGCATACAAACCAAAATTTTTATTCTAATTTAACCATTTTTTATGCAGTTGATATCTCGTTGTTTCACTGTTCAAAAAAGCTATCTCATTCTAGTGATTTTATATTTAGATTTTCATTTTTCTTTTTCCTTCCTACCAACCGGAAAGTTAGGGCGAATAGGGAAAACTCTCCCATAAAACACTTAGGACGAAGAAGGAAAACATTATGCTTTGAACTCCATAGTCGGTGCTTTAAACCCCATCGCCACACCATTGATTTTCTGCCCTCGTTATATTTGTGTCTATGGCTTTACATGTGTTTACATCTATATACATTTGCAGGAGAATCAGTCCCCATTAATTTTTTGTTTATCATACGCAAGTTGATTTATTTACTTTGTCTTTAATGATTGTATATGATCCTTTGAAATCTGGATTTTCATTTCGAAAATTCTACCGGAGAAATGCTTCATCTATGCTTCAATATGTATTGAAAATTTATTACAATATATAACCATTTGTTCTTTTCCTTTGATTTGATGATGTGACAGTGACAGGGAAAGGTTAGTTGAGCAATGAGCAAGACTTGAACATGAGGAGTCCTCGGATGTATTCATCTTTTGTTCCTATTTTTCTGCATTCTATTGGGACTTGGGAGGTAAATTCATTGTGCCATCTTATTAGTTCTTGTTTCTCTAATTATTGCACCATATGTTCAAATCCCTAAGGAGTTTTATGGATGTAAAAGATGGAGAAAATAAATAGTAGTCTTGGATAAACATGTTCTTCTAACTTAAAAAGTACCAAGTGAATCAGCTGCAACTAAATGTGCCTAATAATTATATTGGTGGTTTATAGTATTTAAAGTGGAATCATTAGTGTCAACATGATAGGGTTTAGACATGTTTTTTGCATTTATTTTCATGTGCCTTATCTTGTTATTCTAATCATTTGGTGAGTAGTAGTAGTTCCTTAATCCTTATTATGCATCACATCAAATTGAGTGATCTTCTCCAGTTTGTTCAGACTTAACGTTCAGACTTAACAGTATGACATTGATCATGTCATGTCGTAGGTTTTGCTAATCGGTGGTTGTTGATCTACTCTTTGTTGACCGAATGCATGTGAGTAGATGAGGTTGGGTTGGGCAAACATTTACTTTAGCAAAGTTTAATGATTCTTTTGAAGGGAAGAAATTAGGAATTCGACGTTTAAAAGAAGAATGGAAAGGAATGGTTGAGACTTTTATTAAAAGGTGTTTTCATTTCTTTCTGATCATGACTCTGTTCTTTTGGCTTGATCAACAACACATTCTTACAAACTAAAGATGATAACTGCTAAGATTATGGTTTCTTTTTTTCAGATACCAGAAACCAAACAATGGAGATTTCCTATCACTGAATCTGACAAGTAAGGAAGTTGGTGGGTCCTTTTACACATTGTCTGAAATAGTTTGGGAGATAATTCGAGAGATCCAAGAGATGAAAACATGGAGAAGCTAGATAGCTTCTTAGAACACAACCCATTGGGTTGAAAGTCTATTGATCTGATGATGGAACCGGTAAAAGGTTAAAACTGTCTTTTGACGAGATGAATTCAAAATAGAGATTAAGTAGGTTGCTAAAATACCATTAAATTTGGCCATTCTTGCCCTTCAAGGAGAAGAGCTAGAAAAACTTCATGATTCTTTAAGGGTTCTTGATATTATCTTGAGGCAAAAAGCTGCTCAAAGGTACTACTTTTATAATTTCACTCTTTATTGCTAGTATCTACTTTATTGTATGACTCTCTACATCTAACCTACCCTTTACCCTATTCATATGGTATTTTTTTGGGTGTTTTTCAGGTTATCTTTTTTTTTTCCTAGCTTAATAAAAAGTCGTTATATATAGGGGATGCCTTTTGGTCAAACAATCATTCTTTGATGATACTCAAGAAACTTCACTCATATTGGAGGGGGTGTCTGTGGATGACTTTTATTCTGGTTTTCATCCAATAGATGGTGGTTTGTCACTAAGTACGGGTATGACCATTGACCACATTTACTTTACTAATTACTAATTTTCCCCTGTTAGATTTCATTCACTTGCTCTTTTATTTTCTCATGCATCTGGGTCACTCATACATGCTTAAGTGTGTACATGCTTATAATTATTTACATAAATATATAAATACAAAGCTTCTTTTAAAAAAATATGAAAAGCTTATGATTTTAACTTTATGCAGTGCGTACGGAAATATAGAGATGATGGTGACAAGAAACATCTCTATAACATCGCAAAACATGTGTTGACCTTGTTGGCAGTAATATCCATGATCCGTGTACGAATTATATTAACGAGTTTTTGGATTTTCGAGGTTGTTGGATTTTCTATTTTAGCCACTATGGCTAGCGTATATTGGGACTTGTATCATGACTGGGGACTACTCAATTTCAAATCCAACAATAAAGGTTTAAGAGATTCACTTATGCACAAGCGAAAATATATATATTACACAGCAATGGTAAGTAAATTCTCACTTTCATCATCATATTCTTTAAAATATAGCATTAACAAATGCGTAACTTTAATTACTAAAATTTTAAAATGCAAGTACTCAATATTTTTTTGAGAGATAATTGGGCATATAATCTGATTGATTAGACTTTTAAGGTGCAATGATCAGCATGGCTCAAATTACTTTTTGCATCGTTGGAAGTGATAAGAGGAGTTTCATTGCATTTCAGTTAAAAAAAATACTATAATTTTACATAATACATGTTTAGATATTTTTCATTAATCTATGTGTGTGTGTGTTGGTTTTTGTAGAGGTTACATGTATGTTTTACTTTTTAATTGTTACAGGCTGGAAAATGAGCATATAAAAAATCTTGAGAAACTTGAAGAGAAGAAAATTTACTTACCATACAAGGATGGGTATTTAGATAATACTCTACAGAAATCTAGGGCAGAAAAAGGTTAACAAATTCTACTCTTTATGTTGGTGGAGCTCAAATAGTTAATGTAAACTAATGTTGATTTTAGTTTAATTGGAAACAGCGAAGATAAAAAGAGAAGGTTGTCACTTCAAGAAAGTCTGTATGAAAATGAAGAACCGGTTGGAGCACCTTTATCACCAATGATGTTAGTGATACTTTTTATTTACCTCAACCGAGTCAATAGAACAAAAATTGTGTGCATTTTGGTTGGATTTTAGAAAATCAATCACGGGTCCAGGACTAAGAATCATTGTAGAATCATTGTAGTTGATACATCTGAATAGACATATCCCAGATTCTGCTTGATTCTTAGTCCAACCAAAATCAAAATCCAACCAAAAGCACCATCATTTTCACTCTATTGACTCAGTTGAGATAAATAAAAAGTGTGACTAACATCATTGGTAGGGGTGCAAACGAGCCGAGCCGAGCCCGAGCCTGGCCAGGCTCGGCTCGGGCTCGTTTAAGTTATATGAGGCTCGAGCTCGAGCTCGGCTCGATTCAAGCTTTCTTTTACAGAGCTCGGCTCGAGCTCGTAAAGAGTTATACAAGCTCGGCTCGGGCGCTGGCTCGACTCGTTTTTATCTGACGTGCCTAAATAAGCTTAAGGTCGGCTCGAGCTCGTTAAAAAGCTCGTTTACTAATACACTAAACTCATAATTCCCCTAATATGTTTTTATTTTAATATATATAAATAATAATAAATTATATTATATAAAGGCTCGTTTAGGCTCGCGAGCCTAATCGAACTTAGTGACATAAGGTTGAGCTCGAGCTCGTTTAATAAACAAGCTTAATATTAAGCTCGAGCTCGGCTTGGACTCGTTTAAAATCGGTTTCGAGTCGAGCTTTTAACGATCCGATCTCGAGTAGCTCGCGAGTAGTTTGGCTCGTTTGCACCCCTAATCATTGGTGATAGAGGTGCTCCAACCGATTCTTTATTTTCACACAGACTTCCTTGAAGTGACAACCTTCTCTTTTTATCTTCACTGTTTCCAATTATACTAAAATCAACATTAGTTTTCATTAACTATTTGATCTCCACCAACATAAAGAGTAAAATTTGCTAACCTTTTTCAACCCTAGATTTTTGTAGAGTATTATCTAAATACCCATCCTTGTATGGTAAGTAAATTTTCTTCTCTTCAAGTTTCTTAAGATTTTTTATATGCTCATTTTAACAATTAAAAAATAAAACATACATGTAACCTCTAAAAAACCAACACACACACACATAGATTAATGAAAAAAAATCTAAACATGTATTATGTAAAATTATAGTATTTTTTTTACCTGAAATGCAATGAAACTACTCCTCTTATCACTTCCAAAGATGTCAAAAGTAATTTAAGTCATGCTGATCATTGCACTTTAAAAGTCCAATCAATTAGATTATATGCCCAATTAACTCTCAAAAGAATATTGAGTGCCTGCATTTTAAAATTTTAGTAATTAAAGTTACTCATTTGTTAACGCTATATTTTAAAGAATGTGATTATGAAAGTGAGAATTAACTTACCATTGTTGTGTAATATATATATTTTCGCTTGTGCATAAGTGAATCTCTTAAACCTTTGTTGTTGGGTTTGAAATTGAGTAGTCCCCAGTCATGATACAAGTCCCAATATACGCTAGCCATAGTGGCTAAAATAGAAAATCCAACAACCTTGAAAATCCAAAAACTCGTCAATATACTTCCTGCACGGATCCGGGATATTACTGCCAACAAGGTGAACACATGTTTTGCGATGTTATAGAGATGTTTCTTGTCACCATCATCTCTATATTTCTGCACGCACTGCATAAAGTTAAAATCATAAGCTTTTCATTTTTTTTTAAAGAAGCTTTATATATATATATATATATATATATATATATATATATATATATATATAAAAGCATGTACACACTTAAGCATGTATAAGTATGTACCTGCATCACACTTAAGACGTATGGAAAACTACTGATTCCATATACAACGCTCGTATAGCCTGAACTTGATGAACATAGTGAGTAATCATGGTTTTGATAGCACTTGACCATATAAAAACATCCTACTGAGGCCATGTTCCGGAGTGTTTGTATCTGAGTAAATAAATAAAACAAGCCAAATAAGGTAAACTAACAATGTTAGAATATATCCGTGTACCAAATTAATACCTGGCTTCTTATATATGCTGCTTACTAGTATAATTGTGTCCAAAATTTCAACCTGTGTTTGCAACACAAACTTGATTTAGTTATGCCACATTTTTAAGATTTGGCTTTACTTATAATATTATAGCTAAATAATAGGTGAATTTAGGAGTACCTTGTACAACAGACACAAAAATATTTTCGCCAATTTTTCAATGGTGAAAAGCCTGTTTGTTAACCTATAAAATCAAATCGGAGAATTGTATAAACACTATTGTAGCTAATGAAGAAAAGCAGAGGTAATAATTAACTTACCAGGCAAAAGAATCCCAGTATAAGATCAACTGTGTTAGTGTTATATCCGGTCAACAGAAAACACTGGTGGACAATCATGACAACTGCCATGCTGGATGCTATGAAGTTTCGCTATGGTAAACGCATCTTTTTGCTTCAAACAAGATCTACCGTAAAATCCAAAAATCCTCATGTACTTTATCCTCATGTTTTTCCAAAGAGCCAAGTTGCAGCCTTACACAAAAAATCCGATGCTTGCTAATAAAAAACACGCTGTATTCACAAGACAAATGCCATTTTAGTTCATTTTTTTAGCTGGGAAAAACTAACCGTTACTTTTCTAGTATGAATAAACATGGATAGGTATGCCTAAAAAACGGTAATATTGTCTCCTTATACTTGTAGTCGTGGACAACAGTCAACAGGTTCCAATAACATTCGGTTAGTTGATGATATTATGAAATATATACAAATTAGCACTATAGGCATAGTCGGAAAGGACCCTGTGGCAATAACAAAAAGGTCATTAATTGACCCATGTCATTGATTTAAGGGTGTTAGTGGTCTCGATATTCTGTTATTTTGTTATTTTGTATAGCCCGGAAGAAAGAAATTAGAATGTAGGGTTTAGTTTGGCTTAATTTGATACCATGAAATCAAATGATTTTCCCGTGACATCTTCTCATTCAATAAAAAACTTTATATACATAATACAAGATAGATAGGCCTCACACAAATGGGCCAATATAAAAATACAAGGCTATACAAAATAACAAAATATCGAGACCACTAACAAAGGGAGTCGTATTAATTATTTGATAATTATAAGAATGAAGATTGTTGGTGAGAAGTACAATACCATCAAAGAAGGTGTCGGTGCACAAGTTTTCTTTCTTGCATGGGCTTAACTTTTTCATAGCTACTTCCTTAATGTTATTGGCAAAGTAAGTTGTATGAAAGGTCTCTATGTATTCCTTTAAATCGTCAACCTATATCACACAAACACAATTTATAATATGACTGATAGTAACTAACAAACAAGCACATTTAAAAACATATATATTTATTTTTATGAGTTTATTCGCCGGCTAGCATTAAAAGTTGGGCCAAGAAAACACCACACATGAGTATACACGATGTTAGAGAAGAAAAACAGGCAAGGAATGAATGATTCCTTTTTATCTTAGACTATAATATCAAAGTTTTGTTGTTGTTCGATATATATATATATATATATATATATATATATATATATATATATATATATATATATATATATATATATATATATATATATATATATATATATATATGATGAGTTTCAATAGAGAACCATAATTAACCAAGGAACCAATCTTTTTTTCAACTTATTTTTTATCAAAAAAAAAAACTAAAAATACAGAATTTCATAACTTTTGATCCTTTTTCCAATGATATCAAATTCAACTTTTTTTTTACGTCAAATTCACAATGTGAATCTTTGAAAATTCACAACGTGAATCCGGATTCACACGGTGAATCCGAAAAATATTTTTCACATTCACAATGTTAATATATGAATTTAGATTTTTTTAGATTTTTTTTTCGATAAAGAATAAGCTCTATAAATTGAAAAAAAGATTTGGTTCTTTGAAGAACCAATAATTATGGTTCTCTATTGAACTTTTCCATATATATATATATATATATATATATATATATATATATATATATATATATATATATATATATATTAGATTTTTATTTTTAATTGTCCTTTGCGATATAAAATTAATAACTTGTTAAATGTGTAGGACTAATTTGTTTTGTTAATTATATGTAATGTACCCCTTTCACTTTTGTGTTCTTTTGAAATATGTGGTAGGCCCATTTATGAGGCACGTAAGGACCCACCCTAAATATGTGTTAAGCCCATTTACATAGTTTAATTTAAATTAAGTTGAGGATTTTTATTTAGGTGATACCAATTATAATTATATATACATAGCATCTATTGATGGAATATCCATTGTTGCTCAATTTACATGATTTTACCTTATCCACACACACGAAATGCGACATTTGGACTACTTCTAAGTACGCTCTCGACAATTTCTTATTTGAAACCTGTGAAAAAAGTAGTTTAATTAAATTCATAATAAAGTTTCACCACCCCCAACCCACCCAAGATTATAGACGGTTAGAAACATAAGGGTTTGCCGCCTTACCCTGTCGAATTTTTTAAGTATTGTCTCAATTGAAACCGTATTCAGGGAGCTACAAAAAACATTCACTTTATTAGAAATATTAATTATGTATGTGTAATTAACAACAGGAAAAAGCTTAAGCTATGTATTGTACATATGTAGGATATGGAATGTACCTATAAGTCTTGAGCATTTCAAGAGTACCTCTGTATAAATCAACGCATTCCTTTTTGAGATTTTGTTTGGAACAACTATTGTCAAGTTTATCTAAATTGTACCTCACTTCCACTTCTTCCTCCGTGATCTCAGAAGTGATTACGCCACCTTTTCCCCTCTTCAGGTGTAGTCTCAACTCTCAAACAAAGATGGAATCATAGCCTCATCAGCCTTCTTAGCCTTCTTTGTTTTTTGCTCGCTCATAGTCAATCCTAAAAGATACATTACATTAAAGGGTGTCCACAGAATAATTTGATATAATCTCTAAAAAAATTTAAAATCAAGGCGCAGTGGCGAGGCTACGTTGCTCCAAAGGGTGTCCATGGACACTCCTTGTTTTGGAAATCTTTTTGTTGATTATATGGTAGATCTGAGATGGACACCTGTGGCAACTTGCAAACCAAATCAAAGAGAAAAATTCTAAAAATCCATGGGTTTTTTAAAGAGAATTTCTAAGAGTGTGATTTTTATGATTAAAAAGGTTAGAAGGTATTTAACAAAAATAAATCTTTCTATAGATATCATAATCAATTTTATAATAATTCCAAACTTGTAAAATATAAGAAAATTGAGAAGATAATCTCTAACAGGATGAAAAAAAGTTAAAACCCTAAATAAAAAATTACGCTTTTTTGCGTCACCGGGTCGTTGATGAGTTCTTCCATTTCATTGGATCGACAACAGCTTCCTCTGCTATCTCCCGTGTATTTTATTTTATTTTGAGGTCTTATTTCACACTTTCATTTACTCTCTCTTCTAGTATTTAGTCCTTTAATTTCTTACCCTTAAAATAAATCAATTGTTGCTATAGCCTATTACCTTTACACATAGGTAAAATAAATCAACAGTTGTTGTATTACCTATCAGTCAAAGTCTAGAAACCAAAATGTAGTGTAGAGCTTTTCGTAATTAACCAGACATATATATTAGGAAGCAAACAAAAATTTCAACTTATGATCAATTATCAAATGTTATGTTATTTGATTTTGGAATTTAATTATTTAGTTTAAAGTGAAATAGATTGAATAAAAAAACTGAAATAGTTTCAAATGTATATTTGTTTATTGATTTAGTTTGTATATGGTGTTAGCTATTTATAATCTGGTTAATTTCGTATATTAAAGATGAGTAATAATTAGGAATTGCTTGTAATACATTTACTAGAATATATTAAATTTTGTTTCATCATTGTTATATTTTAGTTGTATTAAGTTGAATTATTGAGAATCCGACCCGATCATCAAAACTTTATAAGTTGTTTATTTTGACACGTCATTCAATTTGGACACATGTGAGTTCCAATGTAGCTTCGCCTCTAATGAGAATAACACCATATATTTCTTTTAGTTAAATCACATCATTTGAGAATAGGCTGCTCACGATTGTGTGCCCTCTCCGGCAGCGTCTCCTGACGGCGATTCCACCTCCTGCCACACCAGACCGCGGCCACTCCACATCCCGCCTCACTTCCAGTTGATTCCATACCTCCTGCCGATTCCCTCACATGCTCGATTAGGTTTCATCTTCACTCTTGAAAATCCATCACAACCTGCGATTTCTTGAAATTCCATCTTCGGTGTACAAGGTTGTGATTTGATTAGTGTTTGATTTTTGGAGTATATAAGTATTCAAGGAAGTAGATGCATCTGTTGCAATTTCCTGTTGTTCTTTCATTTTTTGGAGTATTAGGTTTCGTCTTCACTCTTTCATTTGTAGATGCACATGGCAGCTTTTGTTAATAGAGGACATGTGAGTGGTGGGTGACCACATTTGTTCTTAATGAACTAGAGTGAATCAGATGATGTGTATAGACAGCTTGTACTTTGTGTATAAAATAAAATACGTTTTTTTGGATGAACATTGTTTTGCATTGAAGAGATGAGGACACGTAGGTGTATGGTATAAACATGTGAAATAGATGATGTGTGGGAGTTGTACAAACATGGCTTAATTGACTTTGTATTTGAAAGTTTAGTGATGTATGTATAGCAAGATAACTATGATAATTGGAAAAAACAATATAAAATTTATTGTGTTATAGTGATTTTTTTTTATAAACGTTAATAATAGAAAGCTAAAAAAAATCATATTAAAAGAAACAATTAAAATGGTTAAAAACTGAAAATTAAAAAATATATATATGTTAAATTTTAAAACTATACCCATTTGATAAATGTTTTTAAAAATACTCATTTAGTAAATATTTTGTTTAAAAAGGGCATCATTCATTCCTTTTTTATCTTAGACTATAATAAATTTTAAAACTATACCCATTTTGTTTAAACAGGGAAAGAATGAATGATGCCTTTTTATCTTAGACTATAATAGTTTGTGTGCATCTAAGGTTGTACCTTAGTACCTCTATATTTATCCTTCCACTAATCAGATCGATGAGAACCTAATATATATATATATATATATATATATATATATATATATATATATATATATATATATAGAGAGAGAGAGAGCTAGGTTCAAATGTTTCTAACAACTATTGTGTTCCTAAATGCACCAATCATAAATTAACAAATAATTAAATAATTAATTAAATTAATAAGAGTATATTTGTAATCTTGTTATGATTAATTATGGTAATTAATTGGAATCTTTAACAACCTTTAAATCTGGAAAAGGAAAATCAATTTATAAACCCTATTAAACCACCAACAGACCCATTTATCAAAATCCATCATATTGTCTCTTTCCCTACCTCTGGCGTTCGCCTACTTGAAGTCCCCTTCAACTCCTTCGACCATGGCCTCCCTCCTAACTCTTAGAACACCGATTCTCTCTCTCTCTCTCTCTCTCTAGATCTACGATTTCCTTGCTGGGAGAGAGCTTTACTCATGAGTGGTAGAGTTATTACCATAACAGAATGTGAAGATGGAGTTAAATCAAGAATTGCATCTCGTAGTATAAGGGTAAGTTAAATAAAAAATTTCATCTCCACTTTTATTGATTTGGGTTTTCTTTTAATTTATTTGATTTGATTTTTGATCCTACACATAAATCTAAATTTTTTTTTTGACTTTGAATATGTTGTTTGACGCATATATTTTTTTTCAATTTGTTGATTTGATTTTTACACCAATGGGCTTAAAAACATATTTTTGTGTTTTGATGTGGCTTTCCTATTCCTGCCGAAGAGAAGCAAAACATATTATATGTGTTTTTGTTTTTGGTTTTTGTATATGTGACACACGGAAAAAAAAATATAAACAAATTTAATTTTCATTTGTTGGTATCAAGATTAACCAAAACATTTTTAAAAAGCTAGATTAAATTTGCAATTGTCTAACTTTTTATGTACAAAGTAGTGGTCTTGATTGTATAATTACCACAAATTTTTTATTATGGGTGTATCTGACAGCAATTCTGCCGGAATGGAAGATCAAGTTCTAATCCTGTCATAATGGAATCTCGATTTTATGACATGAAATCTCAAATTAGTCGTTAGTATTTGAAGGTATACACTCTTTTATTGTAAATTTAGTCACATTCATGTATTTATTAATTAAATATGTTGTATGTTTCATCAAATGGAGTATAAAGATCTGAGCATTCGATTTTGTCCGCCAATTGTTTGCTAAAATGCTTGAATCAAATATTTCAGCCAATTTTTTTTTGTAATCTTTGAACTATCATATCGCTCTCATACTAGCTTGGAATGATTTGAAATTTTTTTCTGCATGTTCTCCTTTGTGTCAGCTACAAGTTAGGTTCTGAAGTCATTTTATTTGGATTAATATTGACTGAGTTACAATCCTTCGAACATTGGATGTTACAGCTATATTTTTTAGCACTTTTACTTTGTTCAAAAAAATTTTGTGATCTTTGAACTGTCATATTTCCCACATTTTTGCTTGTAATAATATGATATTTTCCCAACGTATTGTCCTCTGTGTTAGCTACAATGTAGGCTCTAAGAATCATTGTAATTAGATTAAGTCGATTATTTGGATCAAGTGACCCGGATAATACTTGATCAAGTGACTCAAGTATTACATTCTGTTAGAATAAATTAAAAGTCTTTAATGTCTAACACATTCTATTAAAATTTATAGTTTTATTCTTTTAGAATATACTAAAAGTTTTTATATTTTAAAGTTGATTATGTTTTCTTTGTGGATATAGATTTCGAAGAGGCTGTCATTGATGTGGAAAAAGAAGAAAACATGGAGAACGAGAGTATTCTAGCAGAATGTATTCTACCAGAATGTATAAAGTGTTTCTTAACAATAATATTCTTTCAGAATGGATTAGTGTTTTTGTTAGATTTTGATGTTTTTATTTTTATTTTTTTTAACCATTCTTAGTTTTAATCTTTAAGAATAAATGTAATTTTTAAACCATTATTAATAATTTTTTTTTTCAGAATGAATGTAATAATTATTTAGTCTTATTCTTTACGAATTAATGTAATTAGTGATTCTTAAAAAATAAAATTCCGTATTCTTTAGAAAATGTTATTCTTGATAATATGTTGTATAATTCTTTAAGCATTTTAATTATAAAAAATATATTGAATGAACCATATTCTGCTAGAATAAATTCGAAAATATATTTACTAATTTATGTTTGACTCTCTATCATTCTGACATAATAAAACTGGTTAGTACTAGAAATTATAATAGAATTAAATTTGAATTAATTTAAAAAATTCAGATTTAGAAAAAGTAAATAATTATCCTTTAAAATCCGGAAATTTCCTTTTTTAATGTAGGTTAATTAACCAAAACACCCTTCTGCTGAAATTTGTGTGATTATATGGTACATGTCATCCTATTGTAATATCGTACACCCTCAGATCATGACCATTAATTTTATTCATCCATTGGTCAGAATTATGCTTACGGACACACAATAGATGTAAGAAACAAAATAATCTAGCCCTATATAATATAGATATATATATAATATATATATATATATATATATATATATATATATATAATATATTATTCTTTCGCTTTATATAAGAAATTAATATTTAGTTTTTTGTATTTATATTTTCGGGTTTTTTGGTCTATCCGGGTCTAAAACTAGGAACTGTTTCCAATCAACAATTTTCGGTTCCAACCGGTTTAATAACCATTTTACCCGGTCTGATGGTTTGATACTGGAACCGAACCGAAGCCGTCTCACTTGTTACGGTCCGGTTCTCGAATCTTATAATTGTTCAACTCCGGTTTCTAGATTTTCCATGTGCGATTCCAACCGGGTCGAGTTTAACCCCACTTTCATCCCTACTACTACTAACCCGATCGGTAGACGATTTTTTTAAGGGTACTCCTAAATGAACGATCCATTCGTGTATTGCATAAAAGTTGCTTATTAACATCCAATGATTCCAATCCATCGTTCAATTTTTTTTATTTTTTATTTTAGGCCCTCCAACTTATAACAATAGCATAATATTACACTTCTAACTTTTCAATCTTTTTACTTTGAAACTTATTATCAAATATATTATTCTTGTTTATAATATATATATATATATATATATATATATATATATATATATATATATATATAGACACACACTAGCCATTTATCCGCGCCAAACGACGGATGAGAAATTTTTTTTCAGAAATTAATTTGTAGAGGCTGCACAATAGTGGTTAAGGGAGCGATTGTGAGTGGTTAAAGACAAAGTGGGATTGGTGGTGAAGGTGTTTCATTAAAGTGGAAGTTGTGGTGATTAAATAGAAATTAACCATGTAATACATATGTACTTGTAATACAAATGTACATGTAGAATTTTTTTTAAGGATGCAATTTTCTTCTTAATTTGTAATACAAAGTACAAGAAAAAAAATTTATATTATTCTTCATAAACCATTATTCATAGAAATATTTTATTTGAGACTTACCTTTGAGCAAAGGAACCTTGAACCCCTTCAACCATCAACTCCTTTTACTTATTTGCAATAGTTAACTAAAACAATTATAAGCTTCAATAAAAATATGTTGCTTAAAGAATGGAACAATTATAAGCTTCAATAAAAGTATGTTGCTTAAAGAATGGAACAATTTCCTAAAGAAACAAATAAATACATATATAATCTAAAATATTACCTTAACCACCACCCGCCTCTACCACCAATTACTAGCACCCGCTACAACCATCCCCACCCACCACTTAACAAGACCACCCACCACCACCACCACCCGCCACCACCACCCCACTCACCACTACCACCAACCACCACCACCACTACCAACCACCCATCACTATAATCAGTGTTGTAAAACTCGCCGAGTTGGATGATTACTCCTCCGAGTACTTGCTACTTGGCCCCTTACCGATGCGAGTTACAGAATCTCGAGTACTCTCCGATCGACCCCTTACTGAACTGAGCAGTGTTGTAAAACTTGGTCAACTCGATGATTAATATGTATAATTTACTTGATGATTTATTATTTAACACACACATATGTGATTATTACTATATAATATATATATATATATATATATATATATATATATATATATATATCTTAAATTTTCAGTAATTATTCACGAAGTGAGACCATTATGTGTTTTTCAGATTTTGTGTATTCATATGTATCTAATAATGTTATATATTTCAATCAACTTATGATTTTGACATATAATTTCCCTAAAAATATTTCTACATGAATTACCGAATCCGAGAAATCCCCGAGTACTCGCTACTCGGTAGTCGGCCGAACATGTACCGAGTAACGAGTTCTACAGCCTTGACTATAACCCACCAACACCACCCACTACCACCACCCACCACCATCACCACCACCAACACCAGTACACGTCACTGCCACCACCAACCAATCACCACCACCACCAACCACCTACCATCACCCATCACCACTAACCGCCTCCACCACCCGTCACCACTACCCCCACCTACCACCATCACCCGCCACCATCACCCCACCACCAACCACCGTCCAACACCACCATCTACCAACATCATCACCACCTACCACGACCACCACCCATCATCACCACCCGCCTC